ATCGGAAAGTTCCCGCCCCGCGAACATCGCTTCATCAAATCGTCCAAGCAAAATAGAGCTACAGGAAGATAAGGTTCTAGAAAATTTGAACAGTGAGCTTAACTCCGGGTACTTGAACAGTGTGACACTCAAAAGCTGTCCTCCTTACACAATACATTTGATGATAGAGGATGAACCGATAGACATGGAGCTAGATACTGCGGCGGCGGTCACCATTGTAAACAGCGGTTCAGTGGAAAAGCTACCACCTTTGCTACCGTACAACTCCAGGTTACAGATGTACACATGTGATCCAATTCAGGTGTTGGGCAGATGTTTCGTTAAAGTCAGGCACGGGGAGCGAGAATTCACCCTACCATTAATCGTTGTACCTTGGAACAAACCGAATCTCATGGGTTGAGACTGGATACAGTTCTTTCCCGAGACCATGCATCTCAACCAACTCACTGTTGAGGACGGCAGTTTGAATGGATTATTGAACAAGTTCTCATCGTTGTTTACAAACAAACTGGGAAAACGCGTCATTTCAAGGCTTCTATCAAACTCCGAGAGGGTGCCGAACCAAAATTTTACAAAGTTAGATTATTACCTTATGTAATGCCCCCTAAAGTTGAGGCAGAGACACAACGTCTGCAATCAGAAGGAGTCATAGTTCCGGTGCAACATTCAGCTTGGGACACTCCGATTGTACCTGTACTCAAACCTGACGGCTCCGTCCGTATTTGCGGAGACTACAAATTGACAGTCAACCAAGTGTTGAAAGTGGAAAAATATCCTGTACCACGTATTGAAGACTTGAACGCGACTTTAGTCGACGGCCAAAAGTTTTCCAAGCTAGATCTCAGTCACGCATATTCTCAGGTCGAACTTGATGATGAGTCACAGGAACTGACCACAATAACTACCCACCTGGGACTATTCCAGTACACGCGCCTCCCGTTTGAAGTAAATTCAGCACCCAGCATTTTCCAGCGGATCGTGGATAATATAGTTAAAGATGTACCGCTCACCTGTGCATACTTGGACGATATCCTTGTTATTGATCGCAGAGACGCTGATCGTCTAAACACATTGCGAACCATTCTCAAGCGTCTGGAAGAGCGTGGGTTGAAATTAAAAAAAAGTCCAAATGTGAGTTCTTATCCGATTCTGTTTGTTACTATGCTTACAAACTGGACAAAACCGGTTTGCATGTCCTGCAAGATAAAATAGCGCCTGTTGTGTAGGCACCTCAGCCCAAGAATAGTGATGAACTACGATCAGTCCTAGGAATGTTATCCCACTATCGTCGTTTCCTACCTGATGCCTCGACCATGCTTGCTCCATTAAACGAACTGCTACACAAAAACATCCCGTGGCTGTGGAAAAGTGAGCATCAATTTGCTTTTACTTGTGCAAAGAAGCGTCTTGCTTCCGCATCTGTTTTGGTCCATTACGATAGTGAAAAACCGTTAATCTTACAGTGTGATGCCTCCATACGGAGTCGAAGCAGTTCTATGCCACAAAATGTCTAATGGTGTCATTCACCTGATTGCATTTGCTTCACAAACTTTACAACCTGCTGAAAAGAATTACTCCCAGCTGGATAAAGAAACACTGTCAGTTATATTTGGCGTCAAGAGGTTTCATCAGTACATTTGGGGCAACTATTTCGAAATACAAACCGAGCACAAATCACTGATATCCTTGCTGAGCGCGTCAAAGGGAATCGAGCAGATGTTTTCACCGAGAATGCAACGCTGGGCATTAATATTAAGTGCATATAAAGATCGAATCTCCTATATTCCTGGGTTGAACAATCATACAGCGGATGCATTGAGCAGGTTACCACATGCGACCCCAAAAGAAATACTGGAGGAATCAGTAGAGCTTGTAAATCTAATGCAACACCTCGACACCACTTCATTGACAGGTGACACCATACGTCAATGGACCGATCGTGACCCAACACTATCTTCTATATTGCGATTTACAAAAACCGGCTGGCCCACTACAGTTCCCGTCGATTTTAAACCTTACGGACAACGGAAAAATGAATTGAGCCTTCACGATAAATGCTTGTTTTGGGGATCCCGTCTGATTCCACCGCTAAAGGCACGGTCGTTCATCCTAAACGAACTCCACAACGCACATCCAGGCGTAGCCCGAATGAAAGTCTTGGCACGCGGTTATTGCTAGTGGCCTGGCCTACATCCAGAAATAGAGAACTATCTAAAAACGTGGTTTGTGTCAGCAGTATCAGTCAAACAAACCTCCCGGTCCGGTACACCATTGGCGTTGGCCTGAAAAGCCATGATAGCGCATCCATGCGGATTACTTAGGGCCCATTAATGGTGTATTTTTCCTGCTGCTAATTGACGATTATTTGAAATGTATAGATGTTTATCCCGTTTCCTACCCTACTACAGAAACAATTATCTCAAAAATGCGATCGTCATTTGCAATATTCGGGATACTGGAGACACTGCACAGACAATGGGCCATGTTTCACTAGCAAAGAATTTGAAGTCTTCATGAATAGCAATGGTGTCCAGTATGTCCGTACAGCTCCATATCACCCTGCTTCTAATGGGCTAGCGGAAAGGGCGGTGCAGACAATCAAAAGATGTCTCTCAAAACAAGCATCAGGAACTGTTCAGACGAGGTTAGATCGCTTGCTGTTTTTTACAGGATAACGCTCTCGGAAGCCACTGGTAAGTCACCTGCGGAGATGATGTTTGGCCGTACCAGACTGGATCTTCTGTTTCCAAATCATAGAGCACAAATGGAGAGGAAACAAGACAAGGCTGCCTCATCGCAAGATGACCACGACTCTACTTGGCAGCGGGTGATCCCGTATACACGCGACTTCACCATGAGCGCTGCTGGCAACCCGCAACGGGAATTAAAGGTGACTGTACCCAAGCAGATCTTGAATTAAATGGTCGGATAGTACGGCGACACTCAGACCACATACGCTCACGTTTTGTTGGGACAACAGCAGATGAACGTCTGGGTGAATCAGCATCCGCTCAGCCGTAAACAGAAGCAACCCCCAGGATTCTGTACAATTGTCAGATGCACCATCGCTTCGTAGATCTCAGCGTACGCATAAACTCGTTGATCGGTTCGTACCAGGAGTATAAACATTTCATGAGGGGGTGTCACGTACGCGAATGACTTCGATCCGTTTACTTCAGCCGTGCGCGGATTAGTTACCACTCACACCAGCTAGCCAGTCCTCTGACACACCCCTGGTCTCGCGGCGCGTTTCCGTGACTCTTGTGTCTTCTCAATTGCTTGGTAAACCTCCTGCTGTTCAGACGTCTTCTGCTTGCTGGGATTACGTGTCTCGGAAGCGTGCGTTACATGCTTAGTGGTACTACGTTTTAGTTAGTCATCTCCATTGATCGAGCTTCACGATCAAGAGAAGGGTTTGCACTAACACCCGCTCCTTACACAATTCGCTTGCATTTGCATAACCACAACGTAATGTGGGCATTGTCCATTTGCCTTACTCCTCATTCCTCGCCAACAAATTGCTGATTTTCTACTTACAGTACAATGTGTCCAATTTAGTTTACAAAACGTCCAATTAAATGTGAAGTTGGTATATACAGTCGTAGCGCTCGCAGTGGAACCGTAGGTTATCTTGGTGCTATAATGTGCGCACCTCTGTGACCCATTCCGTTGGGTGGTACTTTCCACGTGCCTTCATTAGTACTCATATCAGACACTACATTTAATAGATATCAAATAACCTCATTTTTAGCATCTTCCTTTTCGACGGTTGGTGATAGGTCATTGGCCCTATTCATTTAATACAACCATGAGAAGCAGTCGTTGCAGGTTGGCTTAGGACAGTTCCTTACAGCTTCCTAAGGATGGCAGGAAAGCATCACCGTTTGTAACACTTAGTTTGGTTCGTTCCCCTTAAACCCTCGTCTTATTCCCGCCCGCCTATCATTTACATTCCACTTTTCACCCATCGCCTCTAAATCTGAGCTTTGTTTCCAGTGGACTTTATCCTTATCCGCGAGTTGATCTTATATTGGCGTATGAGGTACTCAAGCATCCAAATTCGGCCACAACACCAGACTGAGGGGCTACTATTTAAAATTGGTCACAGTATAACCGTTTGGAATGTCGCCGGAATTTTTCCCCCTTTCGGGTATACTAGTCATAGAATTCTCTCCTATGTTCTGTCGTCTCTGCTGCCCCATTAACCGAATACAAAACTCAACTTGAGAGCACATTGCGCCACCTACATTACCTGATGTAACCCGCGTTGCGGGGACAAGACATAGCGTAAACCAACAGTTAATCCACTTATGTCCGTTACCTTTCTCTTGGTGTGTTTAATTTTTCTTTTACTCTTTATCTATGGGACTGGTTAATCAGTTGCTTGTTGGGCTATTGTCTTTTACACCGTCACACACTAAGGTGGCGCTTCTTGATCTTATTCCAATAACCGGTTGGCTGTGCATACTTTTCTTCCGACAACCTGTGATCATTTCTTAAGCTGTGAGAAATTACAGCGCTTTTGGCCTACGTTCCAGCGGGCCTTCTCTCGAATGTGGTTTGATACAAATGACGGCCCACTCGCCCTCAGTCTCAGTAATATTCTGCATGTAGCGCTGTGACAGTCAGCGTATTGAGTGAATGTGTGGGGTTCAGGATTGTGACGTAACAGCCGGTCTTCCGTGTGGATATGATCCCAACAACAAGCGCTTAATGCTAGCTCACGCTTCTCTTGGCAGATGTTATTTGATCTCTGATTTGAAATTTTCTTGTCATACAATATATTTTAACTTATCGGTCATAGGCGTGAATCGGTCAAATGGTCGTCATCTTCACATCCTTGCATTGCCGCGTAACCGTAACATGTGTTTCTGAGATAGCAGTCTTTGTCTGTGGTATGTTGCCTGCGATTTACTATTTTTACATGCTTCCAAAATTTTGATGTCATGTTTACAGCCTTATTTTTCACCATATTTCCATCCGTTTGTCTCATTTTACAGGGCCCGGATGGCACTGAGCTTCTCTTCATTCCGATGGACAACACCTACCTACGCAAATTTGTGGACGATTTTGATTCGTTTTGCTAGTTCCCTTCTTTTGGGTTTCTCTGTCTCAGGTCGTATTTTTTTAAAAAGAGATTGTATTTCCATGTCGTTTTGGTATTAAACTATAAACAAGGAGCATTCTTCATCTACCGTCGTTATCCACTTATCGCATCGCACCAAGTGGTCTTTCACACATGTATATATTTGTTTGGACAATTGGACATTATGATGCCGCGCGAATGAAAATGCTTGTCAATAGATTGATGAAATGTTGGGACAATCCAGTTAAGCTACTGGGATCTGGTGGGCATCCGTTGAGCATTACTACTGTGACTCGATCATGACTCTTCTGTGTCCATCTCTGTTCGTGCCAAAGACAGTGTGGATAACTTGTGTTGGCTGTGTGCTGAATCTGAAGCGGTTTGCTCAGTAGTGTTGTGCGTATGGGACGGCGGGTAGCGATGAGACCGCCACCACCGATCGTTCCAGCTAAAAAGCAAGCAAAATACTGGTTACCTTGTTTGGGATACAAATCGCATTCTCGGCTCACATACTGTTTTTTTCTTTCTAATATCAATTAACGCTGTTTTATACGAACGCAAGCTCCCTTGGCTACTTATACCGAACGAAACTGAGACATGCGATTGTAGACTAATCCACTTCGACCTATTCATCTACATGACCCCAATCATTTTTAAGCACAAAATTTCCTTCAGTTACACGATCAAGATCAGGACACCACAATGCAGTGCATGCATCTGTCACAACTCGCGTCGCCAGAATAAGGATAAACAGCAATGTTGAGATGAGACGGAACACAAAGAAAACGCAGTTAAGATATGAATGGAGTTCGTCAGGATGTAATTTCTACAAGTGGATGAAAGAAACCAAATGCAATTATGCAACTGGCTGCACCATATCCCACGGGGTCTCAAACCATTGGTTTTGCAAGTGGATCACAGATGAAATTATTTATTACCTTGCCGCTGCAGTCCGTCTTTCAACCCTCGTTCGTCACGACTCTGCGTCACTACTTATCATCTGCTAGTCACCTCAGCTGCAACAACGGTGGACGGAGTACACTGAGGTTGCTTGTCGACCAGCACGAACGATAGCTCGGCGCTCAGTATGATATAATTTTACACCACTTTATTTCTTTTCCTTAGACGTTTTCTGCCTGCTTGGTCGATGTTTCTTTATATTATGAAGCGATTTTGAGAGTTTCTGAAACATTTTACAGAAACACCTCAAATTACGGTTCCGTTAGGCTGTTCCGCTCAGTTTTACTCTGGATAAGGCTAGTTTATCTCGGTGCGTAACTTATTTGAAAATTAGGCAACTGGCTACTGTTTGTTGCCTTACTTCTGTCCTTTCTTTGATTCGTCTTGGGGAATCAGCTTGATGTCTGCTGTTTCCGTTCGTTGTGTTAGTTTGGGAGTCCAAACGGTGAGTCAGCGAAGCCCGTTGTAGTGTGGTGCCTCCAAATTCTTCACTGGGGTCAGTGTACCATGGTGCTTGTAATGGTACGTACGTTTTCTTTTTTGTTTCCATGCTCACCAACACATCATCGTTGGATACTTTGGACCTATTTCGTTCCCATTCCCTCCTCTTTGCTCGAAGTGTTGCCTGTTCTATCAAATCACCATCATCGAAGTTCTTTATTTCTGTTGCGCGTAGCTGAAAGGAATTTATAATGAAGCAGTGTGTTCAACATTAATTTGGGGCCATGATTTTATCTCATTCGGTGTATCGAGCATATGCTAAGTGTTGTTTGCTGTACTCGGTTTTTCTTGGATTAGACAAACGTAGTCACGTCATAATTCTAGCACCCTTCACATGTACACTTTATGTTATCCTCATGGAAAGTTTATAGCTGTCCAGCATCCCCATCATTTTGGTTGCATTCATCTCTTTATTTGTTCACTCGGTCAGTTAGCGTACTGTCATTCGTTTCCATACGTGTCCTCTTTTGTAACCCCATCCTGCAGCCACCTATTGTGACCTGTGATGTGACAGGATTGCTTACTCGATTTAGTACCTCGCTTTTTCATACTAGACATTGTCCATTCGAAACAGAGACATTCTACTCACTGTTTTGGAATCGCTGTCCTCATGACACGGTCCGCGCTGCTATTGGGTCCCAACAGGACAGAACGGTTGTTCAGCGCTTTTCTGGATACATGGTGATTGTCCGATTTAGTCTGGCCAATGCGGACCTTCACAACAGGTTGCTCCTAATATACTTTTAAAACTAGTCTCCATCCCACAAGTCTGCTTCACCATAACGTAACGTGGTGGGCTGGGTGCCTCAACGGTCCACCAGGCTGCGTTAAGCGACATATTTCAGGCCCCCTGATTGGGATCCGAAAGACGATGAACACGTCTGACTGGAAACACTTGTTGACGTGGCTAAAGGTCGACCGCCATGACGTTTGTGTTGTGAGTTCCTTTGTCCCTCTCTGTCCAGCTCCGCATCCCCCTCCATCCACGATCTCATTTATTAGGCATAATGTAACATTTTTGTGGCACAACAGCCGACTGTTAGCTCTTCGGAACGATGTTCATCCGGTACTAGTAACACTGTTGCGTGTCTTTTCTTTTTGCATTGCAGTACAATAGCTGAGGTGTTCTCCATCTCTAGCTAACGATATATATATATATATATATATATATATATATATATATATATATTCAGGTGTCTTCGGAACTCCTCATATCACCACTGTAATTTTTCGCGGTCAGACAAACTCAGTCTCATCTTTTTCTTCATTTGCAGTTGTGCTTGGCCGATATCATTCCCCTCCATACTGTTTAAATTCGCTTACGAACACTCAGTTAGTGAATTAATAGTTAAAAGATTTGCACCGTGAGACTGCGCCGGTCATACTAACACCATCATATGCCGAATCATCTGCATCCGAGTACCCTTATCGTTGCTGAACTTCAAAGCGGATTGTTTATCGGTAGCCTGTCCTTCCACCCATCGCCTCCATCTTTAAAAATAATCGTCAGTCATGTCATCTCCCTCATTACCACTGTCCTAGCATCGTCCAAGGGTGTCATACTACCTTTGATCACCGGTGTTCGTGTAATACGTATTAGTGTAAACCACGCTGGCATGCGTCCTTTTCGAAATTCCATTAATCACATGTTTACACCCTCAAAGTCAAACGGCGACGTGCCTATGGACGGTTCACTCTGATAGAATCAATCAACAACAGCAGTACCTCAGTCACTAGAACTGGTGCTTCGCTGCCATACAACCATGATGACCAATGGAATTAAAAATAATAAGAGAGCTAGAAGGGTGACTTATCGGAAAACATTAATGTCCTAAGGAAACCTTCAGAATCAAGTCGTCTGCAACTCATCAATAACATACCGTCACGAACAGCTGGCTATCGTGCAAAGATAAGGCGGCATCAGCGAGACGACTTCCTCGCGGTTTCCACTGCTCGTGTCATAATCAGCCATTACCCCGCAGATAACACAGCACAAAACACAATTAAAACGCAATTCCACTAGATGACAGCAGACCCGGCACTGGTGTCGACTGCGAGCCATCTCTTGTAAACTCTCGAGCCAAGCACAAGGCGGGTCGCGTGAACTCCGGATTGGAAAGTGAGTCGGACCTTTGGCTTATCAGTCAGGGGGAAACTCCCTTCTGTCTGCAAAGTTGCCGCAGGTTCAAGAATAATAATAATAATGTGTCAGCTGTACGCCGTAACGGCGCTTCGCTGCTGCACGACCACCAGCAGTCGCGCGCGGGCTGAGTATACCGCGAGGACGCCCACCCCTACCCGGATTCGAACCGGTGACCTTATGGTTGCAAACCAAACTTGCAGACCACTCGGCCACCGGCCGACAGTTCTGACTTTTACAATGCGTGAACTGGCTTCAGTTTCTATGCGCCCATCGTTGGTGATGCAGCTGCCAAGGTAAGTGACTCGTCCAACCACCTCCAGTTCTTCGTTCTCAAGGGTCAAGGAGTCATAACGTGGTTGGTGGTCCTGTAGCAGCACTTTGCAATTTGAAGATGCAAAGCGCATACCAGGGTTGATTGTGCCGCCGCAACATAGTCAAAAAGCAAAGTGATATCGTCCGCATAATCAAGATCAACTAATCTTTCATCATACAGGACCTAAACGCCTACATCATAACATTCCGCAAAGGATTATTCCTTGCTGCAGTCCACGACAAAAATGGGGAAATCGGACAACCCTGATGAATACCACTTTTGGTCCGAAGGCTATCCGACAGTTCACCGTAGACCCAGACGCGTCCTGTAGTGTTCGAGTATAGAGCAGGTAGAATGTTCACATATTTCGTGGGAACACATTTCCGCGCCAGTATTTCGAACAGAATGCATCGATCTACTGAATCGAACGCACTCTTGAAATCGAGGAACACAGCTGTTGTCGGTCTGCGGTATGCGTGGCGCTGCTCTAGCACCTACCGCAGATTGAATATATGGCCTATACATGCACGTCCTGGGCATAAGACTAGCTGCTTTTCCATAACCCATGATTCTCGCTATACATTGAGGCGACGAACGAGAATGGAGTTCACTAAGTTTGTCATTGCCGGCGTTAGGCTAATACCCCTGTGGTTAGCACAGTCAGAGCAACTGTCCTTATACATCCCCACTACAATTGATTCACTCCAGTTAGCTGGAATGTCCCCTGCCTTCCAGACCTGTTCGAATAGGGAGGTCAGTGCTTTGCAGTGGACCTCACCTCCATTCTTAAATAGTGCAGGTGGGATGGAATCCGGGACAGCAGCACGAAAACGGTTGATGGTTGTGATCGTGTCTCGGATCTCAGCCTCAGATGGAGCCTCTAAACTAATCGGCCATGACTCGTCCTGCATCATCTTAGTAGGAGGAGGTCCGGGAGCAAGGGACCAGCTGAACTGATCTTGAGTGTGTTTCGCCCAATGAGCCATACGGCGCTCCCTATTGTATATCAGTGCACCCGCGCTGTCTCTGATTGGCTCACTGATGCTTGATTTCCTGGGATCGGTGGTGCGGATCAGCTGGAAGAGCTTGCGGTAATTGCCTACTGCTCCTGCCTCCTCTATTTCTTGAGCCTGACTGGTCCACCAGGCTTCCTTGTCAGCACGTAGGCTGTGCTTTAGTTCACGCCTAATAGCCCGTCTGGTCACATTGTGCTCAGAACCAGCCGGGAGGTTTTTTCTAGATCCAACTGGTTCACCGACCTCTCGCATATCCAGTGACTGGTGCGGTGTCGATTAATATGACCACAAGCAGAGGGTCTTGCATCGCGCATGGCGGCCGAGATCCTATTCCATTGAAGATCAGTGTCATTATGACAAGGAGCGGAAGTTCGGTACACAGGGCATCCTGGTAGGCTTGCCTGATCGAAGGCTGAGACAAATTTTCAGATGCCAATAAGGGGAGACGTTTGTTGCGCCTCCCAATAAAGTTCTTGGAGGAACGACGGCGTACCAAGGCATGACCAGATTCGACGCAGGTATTCCATAACGGGCGGCAGTCCAAGATGGAACCACGCCACTTAGAACTTATGCCAAGGTGATCTATTTGGGTCCATCGCTGGCCAACGCCAGGTAGCACTTCGGCGCCTACTGTGTCTAAAAGCAGTGCTACTGAGAAACAACTGTTGCTCCGCACACAGTTGCAGCAGGCGCTCGCCGTTGTCAGTCCGTTCGGAGTTAAGCCCATAAATACCACCTAGCTGGGTTTCTGAATAGCTCAGACGCATTACTTGTGTGTTCAGATACTGCAAATACTATGATATCAGATTCCAGTGAAAATTCGGTTGCTGTCAGTTAAGCTGGAAATTGTAGAAGGAGGGTTAGTGATGGGGTTTGGGATGGGAGTAAGAGAAACACGTGGCAAAATAGAGAGGCGCCAGCAGTAACATGTTTTCTCTTGTCCACCTTGCTGTATGCAGCAGATAGAGCGACCCTTGATAAGCTGTGCTACGGCCGATGCAGGATCTTGTTAGAGTTTGGAGAAATTGTCATGGTTGTACATGGACTGAGATGCTGTCAGGGCACCTATACCTAAAGTGGATGACGATCAGGGTCCTCGACCAAGCCTTTGGCTCAAAAGCATGTCCGCAAGGCAGCGGAGAGGTGGCAACCGTTCGGTTTTACAGAAATGTGTGACTTCTTATCTTAAACGCCTAATGTGGAGGACCAGGAGATTGCGTTTGTCGGACCTCTAGCCATTGACTGACCTGGTAGGAGTAGCTCTCAAGGGGCCCGGAGTCACCACAAAGTATAGCCCAAGGGGGTCAGAGAGGTACGCAAACTGTCGCACCACGTTAAGGTCCAATCTCGTTGCGACGGACTAGGATAGTTTCTATAAGCTTAAACACTGTATTCAACCCAGTTTCCCCTATCAGTTTGATATGCTGTCCAACCTGTTATGGCGATCACCTGTCTATGGCGACAGGCCACATCATCCCCAGCTGTTTCCACTATTAATAATGTCCCTATTTACGAACCTGTCTATGGTGACCAGTATTTTTCGTTCCCTTGAGTGGTCGCCTTAGACAGGTGCGACTTTACTACCTATCATTAGGTGGTGTGCATAAGAGACTCCTTTCTGTCTAAAAATGCCTACCGCGATTCTTGAGTCCTGGTAAGTGTATAGGGGAGGTTGTCTCCTAAGTCCGTGCGATACCCTCTTG